GCAGGCAAATGAAGATTTCCAAAATGGCCGCTATTTATAGCTCGACCATTACACAGTGGCTGGCTGGCTGGCTGCTGATTGGCTGATGCGATCACATGTCGTTGAGGAATGCATTATGGGGCAGCGCGCCTTGTCTGCGCGCTTTCCCAGACATCCCCGCTCCGTCGCCGCACATGTCAGCCGCCATTTTCTGAAAAATTTCGATTCGCGCGTCCGAATTAGGCTATTTTTCGGATTCGGCACGAATCGAAATTTTTCAGATATTCGACTCGAATTCCACTTCGGATACTTCGATTCGCTCATCTCTAGTAATAACAAGAAACACACAGCTACATTTAAAAAAATAATTTTTTTTTTACTATTTTGGGCCAGTTTTTCTTTGATATTAAAAAAAATCAGGAGATATCCATTACCATTCACCACCATATGAAAGCCCAATTGTGGTATAATCCACCTGAATGTACAAAGTAGTTGTGATGATATGTACGGATTTACTAACACGTTGCAAAATCGTCAACGTTGCAAAATTGTGCTTAGGCATTAAGATTTGTTTTACCCTTAGGTGTGAATGGGTTTAATAGACTCTGCTGACCCAAGATGGCCGCCAAGCATTGCATGGCCACGGCATAGCCAACTGGATTGCTGCTCCATTTACCCAGGAAACCATAGAGAAAACGTTTTTTTGGGGTTTTTTTTTAATGGTTGAACTGGATGGACATGTCTCTTTTCAGCCAGACTGACTATGTAACTATGTAACTATGCTTCCCATGGACTTCCTCTCCAGGCTGTTACCATTCGGGTCGAGCGCCACTGACAGTGGAGAACACAGATTGCACCTGCCTTTAGCAAACAAAAACTAAAAAAAACAATCCAACCGGTCCAAATAAAACTTTATATATTCTTAAACAACAAAGCTAAAGTTATTGAAGGAATGACATCAGTCAGGAATGATTGCCGGGTGCGGCTTCACCGGGTCGGAGCATCTGGTTCCTGCCACCTCCTCAGATGAATACCATTCCCTACTGAATTCTAGTTGTGTGTTCATGGAACAGAATTATCTCTTTCCTGGGGGGGGGAGAACTATTCTCTGCAGGATTCTCAACTCGGATAACAAAAGACAGGAAATATATAAAGCAAAAGAAATCATCACTTCCCAGAAGACAGAAGGACTGAACGCTGCAGAGTACTGCCACCGTCTTCTGTAGGTTCACCCAGCCAGCGGGGCCAAGAGATATTACATGTGTGTTCATTATGGGCAAATGTAAGCATATGGGTGAATAGACGTGTATTGGTGAATATCAGTGTATGAGTGAATATACGGACATGACTGAATGTATATATGTGTATGGGTGAATATCAGTGAATGCGGGGTCCGGGGAGACCGGATGTAGTGAATGCGGGGTCAGGGGAGAGGATATAGTGAATGCGGGGTCTGGAGAGACCAGATATAATGAATGCGGGGTCCGGGGAGAGCAGATATAGTGAATGCGGGGTCCGGGGAGAGAGGATACAGTGAATGCGGGGTCCGGGGAGAGGGGATATAGTGAATGCGGGGTCCGGGGAGAGCAGATATAGTGAATGCGGGGTCCGGGGGGAGAGCGGATATAGTGAATGCGGGGTCCGGGGAGAGCGGATATAGTGAATGCGGGGTCCGGGGAGAGCGGATATAGTGAATGGGGGGTCCGGGGAGAGCGGATATAGTGAATGCGGGGTCCAGGGAGAGCAGATATAGTGAATGCGGGGTCCGGGGAGAGCGGATATAGGGAATGCGGGGTCCAGGGAGAGCGGATATAGTGAATGCGGGGTCCGGGGAGAGCGGATATAGTGAATGCGGGGTCCGGGGAGAGGGGATATAGTGAATGCAGGGTCCGGGGAGAGCGGATATAGTGAATGCGGGGTCCGGGGAGAGCGGATACAGTGAATGCTGGGTCCGGGGAGAGCGGATATAGTGAATGCGGGGTCCAGGGAGAGCGGATATAGTGAATGCTGGGTCCGGGGAGAGCGGATAGTGAATGCGGGGTCCGGGGAGAGCGGATATAGTGAATGCGGGGTCCGGGGAGAGCGGATATAGTGAATGCTGGGCGGGGGGGAGAGCGGATATAGCGAATGCGAGGTCGGGGAGAGCGGATATAGTGAATGCGGGGTCCGGGGAGAGCGGATACAGTGAATGCAGGGTCCGGGGAGAGCGGATATAGTGAATGCGGGGTCCGGGGAGAGCGGATACAGTGAATGCGGGGTCCGGGGAGAGCGGATATAGTGAATGCAGGGTCCTGGGAGACCAGATATAGTAAATGCGAGGTCCTGGGAGACTGATGTAGTGAATGCGGGGTCCAGGGAGACCGGATATAGTGAATGCGGGGTCCGGGGAGAGCGGACATAGTGAATGCGGGGTCCAGGGTTTAGTATCACTTTAAATAGGGTTTATGTGCGTCTTTGAGACCCTTGCTTGTATCAAAACAGTGCTAGTCCCTCTGTTTTCCTATTAAAAATTGACCACACTAGGCATGAGAAACACAGCGGTCAGTTCTCTAGCTGTGCTTGGAACTCTGCCTGCTCTCCTCCAATGATCAGACTTTTGCTGAAACCCTCCACTTCCCCCGCACAACGATTTACTGTGAAGACTAAAGTGCTGCCATTTCTCCTCGCACAGCTCTCTATGCAGCTGAGAACACAGGGAATGTGATCACTTATAACTAAGGGGAAAAAGGTATTTATAATGTTTTATACGCTCACCCCCCCCCCACTTTATCAGGTCCACTTTGCTAGTCCCGGCTTGGACCCCCTTTTGCCTTCATTCTTCGTGGCAATAGATTAAATGTTGGAAACATTCCTCAGAGATTTTGGTCCATATTGTCGTGTTAGCATCACGCAGTTGCTGCAGATTTGTGGGCTGCACATCCATGAACCATGGATACAAGGCAGAAGGGATCCCCACACCATGACACCAGGACACCACCACCACCAGCCTGAACCATTGATACAAGGCAGGATGGATCCCCCACACCATGACACCACCACCACCAGCCTGAACCGTTGGTACAAGGCAGGATGGATCCCCCACACCATGACACCCCCACCACCAGCCTGAACCGTTGGTACAAGGCAGGATGGATCCATGCTTTCATGTTGTTTACTCCAAATTCTGACCCCACCATCTGAATGTTGCAGCTGAAATCCAGACTTATCAGACCAGGCAATGTTTTTCCAATCTTCCATTATCCAATTTTGGTGACCCTGTGTGAATTGTAGCCTCTGTTTCCTGTTCTTAGCTGACAGGAGTGGCACCCGGTGTGGTCTCAGCTGACAGGAGTGGCACCCGGTGTGGTCTTCTGCTGCTGTAGCCCAACTTCTTCAAGGTTGGACATGTTGTGCGTTCAGAGATGGTATTCTGCATACCTCGGATGTAACGAGTGGTTATTGGAGTTACTGTTGCCTTTCTAACATCTGGAACCAGTCTGCCCATTCTCCTCTGACCTCAACAAGGCATATTCCTCCACACAACTGCCCCTCACTGGATATTTTCTCTTTTTGGACCATTCTCTGTAAACCCTAGAGATGGTTGTGTGGGAAAATCCCAGGAGATCAGCAGTTTTTTTTAAATACTCCGACCAGCCCATCTGGCACCAACAACCATGCCATGTTCAAAGTCACTTAAATTCCCTTTCTTCCCCATTCTGATGCTCGGTTTGAACTTCAGTAAGTCGTCTTCACCACGTCTAGATGCCTAAATGCATTGAGTCGCTGCCATGTGATTGGCTGATTAGCAATTTGTGTTACCAAGCCATTGAACAGGTGGACCTGATATAGTGTCCGCTGAGTGGAGATATTTACACAAATGATTTGCCTTTCATTTCTATTTTAAACAGAAAGGTTTTTTTTCAAGATGGGGCTTTACAATCATTTAAAGAGGAGCTCCGGGCTGTCCCCGAAAAACTAAAATCCTGCAACTAAAAGTACTGTAGCTGCTGACTTTTACTATTAGGACACTTACGTGTCCAGGGGTCAGTGCCGTCCTCACCTGAGCTAGTTCTTCACTTGCCTTCGGGTCCCCGGCGCCGGCGTACCAATCAAGGGAAAGAGGAAGTGAAGCCTTTCCTACTTCACAGCGGTTTTCCTACTGCACATGTGCAAGTGGCGTTGCGCCTTGTGAATTACCTTGTAGCCTTCTGGGACCTCTGAGGTGTCCCAGAAGACTGCAGGAGGAAGAAGGTGGGGCCGAACTGAGCCACAAGTGGGAGCGGGAACCTGTCAAAAACAGGTATCCGCTCCCCCTCCCCCCCAAAATAGTTCCAAATGTGGCAGTGGAGGTGGGGAGGGTGCAAACAAGAGAATCTTCCCCTTTTGGGTGGAGCTCTGCTTTAAGCTTGAACATTCAAAAAGAAGGCAAATGCAGCTCCTATATTTTTCTCCTGACAGGGTCTCTTTAACGTGGCTGTCTGGTCACATCCCTTCTAAGTTACATATTACCTGTATTACAAAGAAGTCTTGACTTGCATCACATCATATATTGCCTTCGCTGATAGCAGGGTGTCTCTTCTTGGCGTATGTTCAGCAGATACCATCTGGAATTTAAGATTTGCCCAGAGCGTCCCTTAGTCCACCTCCTCCCAGCTGACCAGGAACAGAGATGGGAATCATTAGGACCAGTGGGCTTCACTCACCATAGAACTAAAATTACAGCATTGGGCGGAGCAACCCTTCAGTTATTTCCCATGTAGGGTCTCCATGAAGTAACAGGTCCATTGTAGCCAGACCTTCTCTCCCACAAAGAGCCCTCTAATTATTGAAGATGTCTGGAGGTCCCATCACCACCTATGAGTACAATGTTCTGCATTTTACTGAGTTTTTTTTTTTTAAGTTAACCTGAAACTAAGACCAGAATTTCTTTCCAGACGGTCAAAGTAGTGTGATGAGCCGGATAAAAACTGCACCCCACCAACAGATTTCAAGCTTGTTGGCCTTTCTGAAATTCCTGGTCTACAAAGTGTGTTTTTTTTGTGATGTTTTTCAGTATTTATATTGTGACGTTACTTGGAAATGCATGTATTATTTTTGCTTATCACCACAGCTCCATCCTCCACACTCCTATGTACTTCTTCCTGGCAAACTTCTCTTTCCTGGACATATGTTACATCTCCACCACTGTCCCCAACATGTTGTCCAACTTTCTTCATGGGCACAATACCATATCCTTTCACGGATGTGTTGTACAGTTGTACTTTCTGATGTTACTGGGCAGTACAGAGTGTTATATTCTAGCAGCAATGGCCTATGACCGCTATAATGCCATATGCCGTCCACTTCTGTACACTGTTATTATGAATAAAGTTTCATGTACAAACTATGTGTTTGGGTCATGGATTATCGGAATAGTTAACTCAGTTATACACACCACCCTTACCTTCACCTTACCATTCTGTGCTTCCACCAAAATTAATTACTTTTTTTGTGATATCCCTCCATTGCTCAGCTTGGTTGAAGTGGACACCAGGATCAATGAACTTTCCACTTTTATTATTGGTGGAGTTGTCACCATGGGCTCTCTTCTGCTGACTATAATCTCGTACTCAATGATTATCTCCACCATAGTGAAGATCCATTCAAGCTCCGGACAAATGAAAGCATTCTCCACCTGTGTGTCTCATTTTACTGTTGTCACAATATTTTATGGTTCTGGAATTTTTATATATCTGAAACCAAAATCAAATTATATCATGGACTACGACCGACTGGTGGCCGTCATGTACACCGTCATTGCACCACTACTCAACCCTTTTATATACAGTCTCAGGAATAATGATGTTAAGGTGGCAGTTAGGAGGTTAGTTTGCGAGAGATTAGCTGCTGGGAAGTCCTGAAATGGAAAAAAGAAAGGAGCTCCAAAGGACAATTGGACACTTAGAGGTCCTTATCAGGGAAAGTCCACACAGTGCAAACGTGAGAGTACCCCTTCTTCAGGGCTGGGAAGGTGCCGAGTGGTGGACTTGGCAATGAAAAGTACGGCATTCAGGGCATGGCTGCATGTTTTTATGTGATTGTTGAGCCACAATCCTGAGCCCAGAGATTACAATGAAATGTGAAATCTGTCAGCCATGTCTAAGATATACACAAGTTGTCCACCATTGCCACAATTGTCAGAAAATCCTCCTCAGTGAGACATGGCTTGTCTCCCGACCAACTGCAGCTCCAGAGGTCCTTTACAGCAGATAAGACTAACAGGCTGAACAATACCCGGGTTCTCTCCCCTAGGCTGAGCTGATACCCGGGTTCTCTCCCCTAGGCTGAACTATACCCGGGTTCTCTCCGCTAGGCTGAGCTGATACCCGGGTTCTCTCCCCTAGGCTGAACTATACCCGGGTTCTCTCCCCTAGGCTGAGCTGATACCCGGGTTCTCTCCCCTAGGCTGAGCTGATACCCGGGTTCTCTCCCCTAGGCTGAACTATACCCGGGTTCTCCCCCCTAGGCTGAGCTGATACCCGGGCAGGGGCGGACTGACAACTCATGGGGCCCCCGGGCAATAGGGGATCATGGGACCCCTGTGTCCTTGCCCACACTCAAAAAAGCCTATAAAAAAGGTACCAGGGGCATTTCATGGGGCCCCCTACTGACCCCGGGCCCTCGGGCAGTGCCTGAGTGCTTGAATGGTCAGTCTGCCCCTGTACCCGGGTTCTCTCCCCTAGGCTGAGCTGATACCCCGTTCTCTCCCCTAGTACCCAGAGACGATTTATATTTCCCTGACATCAGAGTGTGGAGGTATTAGAACCCCCATAATCTCTCTGTTCCTGGGACTGTCACCAGAAGAGGAATAGGAGGGGAAATCTCCCAATGTCTTGCTTTCTTCACATTTTCATTGGTTCACAGAACAGGAAGTACAGTAGTACAATGTTACTATGTTAACAATATACTACTTTGATCATAGTGCAATATGAAAAAAAATCTTAAAAAAAGAGAAAAAAATTTAATAAAAAAAAAAAATAAAATTAAAAAATGTTTAAAAAATTCTTTTTTTTTTTTGTACTGTCACCAGTCAATGTCCCTGATCACCGCCACACCAGTTATATGAGGACGCTGTACTGCACTGATGACAGTATGTAAAAAACAATTTGTGAAAATAATTTTTTTAATTTCTTCATTTTCTAAAAAATTATGACAATAAAATTACAACTTCAATAAACTCTCCATGCCTCTTATTAAATACCTTGGACTGTCTACTTTGCAAAAAGGGGGTGATTTGGGTGATACCTGTACCATCCTGACATTTGGGGGATATCTGTACCATCCTGACATTTGGGGGGATTTGTACCATCCTGACATTTGGGGAGATTTGTACCGTCCTGACATTTGGGGGATTTGTACCGTCCTGACATTTGGGGGGATATCTTTACTGTCCTGAAATTTGGGGGATATCTGTACCGTTCTGACATTTTGGGGATATCTGTACCAGCCTGACATTTGGGGGGATTTGTACTGTCCTGCATTTGGGGGGATATCTGTACTGTTCTGACATTTGGGGGATATCTGTACTGTTCTGACATTTGGGGGATATCTGTACTGTCCTCACATTTGGGGGATATCTGTACTGTCCTGACATTTGGGGGATATCTGTACTGTTCTGACATTTGGGGGATATCTGTACTGTCCTCACATTTGGGGGATATCTGTACTGTCCTGACATTTGGGGGATATCTGTACTGTTCTGACATTTGGGGGATATCTGTACTGTCCTCACATTTGGGGGATATCTGTACTGTCCTGACATTTGGGGGATATCTGTACTGTCGTCACATTTGGGGGATATCTGTACTGTCCTGACATTTGGGGGATATCTGTACTGTTCTGACATTTGGGGGATATCTGTACTGTCCTCACATTTGGGGGATATCTGTACTGTCCTGACATTTGGGGGATATCTGTACTGTTCTGACATTCTTGGACCTCAAGAAATTAGATTCATCAGTACTTCAGGATTGATCGATTATCAGATATATCCCATAGTTTGTGAACTCTATAACTTTCCTACAGACTAAATAATAAATACTAATTTGGGTTATTTTCCCCAAAGAATTGTAGCAGAATACATCTCGGCCTAAATTTGTGAAGAACAATTATTTATTTGCAAACTTTTATAACAGAAACAAAGAAAAAGGTGGGTTTTTTTCAAAATGTTTGGTCTTTTTTTGTTAATTTAGCAAAAAATAAAAACCCCAGTGTGGTGATTAAATACCACCAAAAGAAAGCTCTAGTTGTGTGAACAAAATGATAAAAAGTTTGTTTGGGTACAATGTTGTATGACCGCGCAATTGTCATTCAAAGTGTGAAAGCGCTGAAACCTGAAAATTGGCCTTGGCAGGAAGGGGGGTGACAGTGCCCGGTATGGAAAGGGGTAAACCGATTCTACGCTGCCCTATAGTGGAAATACTTCTACAATGCGGCACGGGGTGCAAAATCCTGTGTATATGTATACTGCATATATACGTGCTTTTGCCGTTCCGTGTAGGCATAGCAGAGCCATACAAAGCAGCATGTTTACAGTGAAACACACACAGCACACGGTTAACCCTTTGATGGCCCCAGATGTTAACCCCTTCCTGCCCAGTGCCATTAGTACAGTGTCAGGGCTTTTGATAAGCACTGATCACAGGGGATGTCAGTGACACCAAGTGTGTTCCCCCATCCATCCATCCATTCATGTTCTTATTTCAGGCTCTCTTTTCACCTGGTAATCCTTTGAATAGCTCATTTCCTGTCCACGGGTGACTACGCTCACTCATCATACTGTAACTAAGGAGACAGACGTGGTGGTCATTATTATTATTATTATTATACAGTATTTATAAAGCGCCGATAGTTCGCTCAGCTCTGTACATTACAAAGGGGGACAGAACATGTGACAGAACAATAACAATACAATACAATGCAAAACATGAGGGGATCGAGGGCCCTGATCCTGGGAGCTTACAATCTAGGAGGGAGGGGATGGTGGCACAGGAGGAGATAGCTGTGGGGGATGGAGTGGTAGGAAGAGTGTAGGAGGTCGGCAAGTTAGCAGGGGGTGGGGTAGGCTTCCCTGAAGAGATGGATTTTCAGGGTGCGCCTAAAGGAGAGGAGAGTAGGTGATAATCTGATGGGTTGGGGCAGGGAGTTCCAGAGGATGGGTGACACCCTGGAGAAGTCCTGGAGGCGGGCATGGGAGGAGGAGACCAGGGAACTAGAGAGAAGGAGGTCTTGTGAGGAGCGGAGAGTGTGTGTTGAGTGGTACTTGGATATTAGGTCGGTGATGTAGTTCGGGGCAGTATGGTGGACGGCTTTGTACATCAGTGGATGAGCTGTTTAGTGGTTTCTGGGGTTAGGAACGTGCGTATTTTGGCGATGTTGCGGAGGTGGAGTCTGCATGTTGCGGAGGTGGAGTCTGCATGAGTTTGTTAAAGATTGGACTTGGGGCTGGAAGGATAGGTTGGAGTCCAGAATGACACCAAGTACTCTGGCCTGCGGGGTGGGTTTGATGGTGGCGTTGTTGGACATGATGGAGAAGTCAATGGGGGGGGGTCCAGGCTGGGGGGAAGACAAGAAACTCGGTTTTGGAGAGGTTCAGTTTAAGGAAGTGGAGCGACATCCAGTCTGATATGTCGCTCAGTAGGTGTGTGTGTGATGGATTTGGTAAAATGTCTATTTCGTTTCCTATTGAATATATATATATATACACTATTTTTATACACATTTTTATACATATTTACTTTTATACTTTAATACATATGTTGTGTGAATATTTTCTGCCTGCTGGGCTTTGTGGTACTATAAAAAATCCTTGCTTAAGAAATGTCTGCTCACACACACAGACCCCCTCCCACCGTGTGATTTGGAAGACAAAAGAATGTTTTCCTATAAGATAAGATGGAAGAAGATCACACCTATACCATGACGGAGATTGTTTTCGTGTGGAAATGACCAATCAAAGACTAATATAATGCTTATGCTGTTGTCACATGACTTTCACATAATTTTGCATATATAAGATCACTTTCTCATTATAATAAACTAGAAGTGTTCATAGACTGAACTTGTGAGCGTGAGTCTCTTCCAGTGTGCGCACATTCCAAAGCTAGCATCATAAATTAGGACAGGAACAGATAAGCACTGGAAGATTCAGTCCTTGACTAAATCAGCTGATGCCGAAACCTGGGAACTCTGGGTCATGAACCCGCGGCCAGCCGACCAGAAAGGGCATTAGGTGTCAGTCGCAACAGATGGGACAAGAGCTTGATCACCTCTCGGAGCATGGTAAGATATATTTTGCTATCTTACCAGTGCTTATCCTGTCTTTGTTGTTGATTCATTCCTGTGCCTGGTATGGCTGCTTAAGGTCACTAAAGGCAGGTAACATTGCTTGCCCAGAGTTTATTTAAATCTACCTGCACTGCTTATCTGTTGCCTGGTTCTCTGTTGTGTGTTTGTTTTTTTATGTATCAGTCTTGAGGTGGAAGAGGAGTGGACCTACTGAGGGTTTTGACACATAATTTCTCTTGGGTGTGTGGTAACCTTGTGTGTTGACCACAAGAGAGGAGGTGTCGGGTACGCGTCACGGTAGTGTGGCAGCGGGGTGCCTTAGCCATGTTTTGGGCTAGGAAGAGTTACTCAGTGATCTGTACTCATAGCCCACCAAAGATAGACTGTTATGTTATGTCCTAAATGTGTGTCTGTGAGCTAATGTTTGCCATTCATAACAGAAGGTTGGGGTTTGTTAAGGGTTAAGGAAAGTCTGGACAGCAGCCTGTGAAGTGTCTTAGATTTCTGTTAGGAAGGACAGAGAAGGGGGGAGGAGATGGGTCAGATGCTGATAAGACCCCTAGAAAGGAATGTTACCATGTAACCAGGTTGCACAGAGAGAAGAGGAAAAGTATGTGGAATTAAAGATAAGGAGGTTTAAAAAAAAAAAAAAAAAAAGAGAAGAGAAGAAAGGTGTCTTAGTTGACAAAAATGTGCTGAAGACAGCAAGAAGCTTGGTAGAAAAAAAAAACTGCAAAAGCGTTGCAAAAAGAAGGATGGTTGGAAGAAATTCAAGAAAATGGCGATTGTATAATGTATGTGTATCATAAAATTGAAAATGGAAGTGTGCTAAAACCACTGCCCTATGACGATAGAATTCAGAACAAAGGAGGCCAGGAACAGTTCCTGCCCAGCCCAGTGCACTTCCTGATGGCAGCCATCTTGTTGCACCCGCATTGTCAGTTCCTGCCCAGCCCAGTGCACTTCCGCCTGGCGGCCATCTTGGTACACCAGGAAGGCCTTAATAAGGCATATACCCAGTTCTCCCTGTTCTAAACCAGGATGGTTCCTACCACACTCCCATTTTCCCCAATATGGAAGCGTCACCTGCACAAGCCGGATACATGAATGACAATGCATTCGAGCCGGATGATCAACAACCGCAAGCAGGAAGGATGCCGATAGGTATGACTCCCAAACCTATGCCAGATGTCCAATTGAATGACGATGCATCTGAATGGAGTGATCAACGGCTGCAAGCGACAAGGGCGCCAATAGATTTGACTCCCAAACCCACGCGCAGTGGAGTACAACCTAAACAGGAACAGTACACAAGACAGCCCCGACATTCAAGATTACCGGAAGGGGCACCAGTAATGTATGTCGCTTTTACCCCATCACAAGCAGTGGCTTTAGTGACGAGTCTGTCTGACCCAGAGAAACAGCCAATACCCTTTTACCGCAGGGTAGTGCAGATACAAGAAACTTACTCAGCTGCTTGGAAAGACTTGCTCAGTCTATGCCAAATTAAAGCAGGACATGTTTTCTGGCCAGTTATGCAGACGGCCTTCAATGATGCCTGCCTGACAAGTGTTATTTCCTATTCTTCAGGCGTGGAGTTCTGTGCCCAGCTCCATGACTGGGCAAAGGAGAAAGAAATTGGCGGATCAGACTACCACAATTCAAGACATCACCCAAGATAAAGGGGAGTCTGTGGAGAAGTATTATGCCAGACTCATACAGGCCTTTGATGATCTGGGCTTCTCTCAATATGAAAAGGCACACACACACATGCTCTCAGCTGCTTTTATCTCAGGGCTCAAAGAGGATATCAGGAAAGGTCTGATGGTTGCCCGCCCTGAGTACCGCTCTATGAAGATGTCTGACTTACTGTTGGTGGCCAGAGGCATAGAAAACCAAAAAGGGAAAAAAAAACAGTGCCCCTCATGGTGGTCAATGACGAAGATCCCACCTACACTCATCCATGACCACCATACTGGACACGTGGCAAAAGGAACATTCGGCAGTGGTCCTTCTTCAATATGTGGATGACTTTCTCCTCTGTGCTGATGAGCTGCCCATGGCTGAAGAAGCCTCGGAGAGTTTATTATGTTACTTGGCACACCAAGGCTGTAAGGCCTCTAAACCGAAGTTGTAATGGTGCTCTACAACAGTTATGTTCTTGGGCCACTGCCTCTTACATGGAACAAGGCATCTTATGGAGGAAAGAGTTAAGGCCATCCAGAACCTGCCACTGCCGCTAGGCCAGAAGCCACTCCACGCCTTTCTTGGCCTCATATCGTACTGTAGGTCATGGATTCCTGATGTTTCTTGGTTTATGCAACCACTCTACGATGCTCTCAAGTCTAAGCCCTTCCATCTGTCTGAAGAGGCCGCCTCCAACTTTTTGGCTCTAAAATGCTTACTTTCTTCAGCCCCAGCCCTAGGTCTACCAGACTACGAGAAATTTTTTTTCAAACTGTTCGTGTCTGAACGCCAAGGCCACGCCACGGGGGTCCTAGCTCAGGAACATGGAAGGCAAACCAGACCCATTGGGTACTATTCTTGCCATTTGGACCCTGTAGCTAGGGGTGGTTCTTCATGTCCAAGAGTTGTCTTCGCTGCTCAAGCTCTGCTGGATAAGACCTCTGATATTGGTCTGGGACATGAACTTGTTCTTTTGGCGCCGCATGACATTGCTGCCATTTTAAACCAAGTCCAACCTTAACATTTGTCCACAGCGAGGCATCTTTGACTACAGTGTTCCCTCCAACTTCCTGATAACGTCACTCTCCTACGTTGCCAAACCCTGAATCCGGCCACTCTCCTCCCAATTGCTGAGGGGGGTAATAAAGATAATGCAGAAAGTGGAGAGGATGATGGAGCCACTGAGCCTCATAATTGTCTTGAAGTGATGAAAATGGAAACCTTCCATCTCCCCACAGTGAGTGAAACACCACTGCAGGACCCAGACGTCACCTTTTTTGTTGATGGTTCCAGATATGCAGACGATGGAGGCAAATATTATACAGGATTTGCAGTCACTACTGCAGACACAGTCCTACAGGCAAGAGCCCTATCGCCAGCAATATCTGCACAGGGAGCTGAACTTCAAGCACTCACAACAGCAGGCCAGATGGCGGAAGGAAAAAGGGCCAACATCTACATAGACTCCAGATATGCCTTTGGGATTGCCCATGACTTTGGACCCATATGGAAGGCAAGAGGATTTATGACTGCAGCAGGTACATCCATAAGACATCCATCGGCCATTGGACGACTGCTGGAAGCACTACTTCTACCCATCAAAGTGGCTATTCTGAAGGTAAAAGCTCATGGGAAATTAAACTCCTCAGAAGGCAAAGGCAATAATCTGGCAGATTTGGCGGCAAAACGAGCGGCCATGGGACCACCAGAAATGGAAGGAGAGGTGACTGGAGAGTGGGAACCAATATTCACCTTACAGACCTTACCTGTGGACAGAAGCTACCTCAAGGAACTCCAAGAAGCAGCAAGTCCAGAAGAGAAAGAGAGCTGGAGACGGAGAGGAGCTATTCTCAAAGACGGTCTGTTTGAGTGCAACAAGAGGCTTTGTTCACCCAAGAATATGTTTCCAGCTGTAGTCCAGTGGGCACACGGAGCAGCCCATCTGTCAAAGAGCCTCATGAACTCTCTCATCAACAAGTACTATATAGCGCCTGGAATCACCACATTGACGAACAATTTTTGCAAAACATGTGCCATCTGTGCAAAATGCAATGCGGGACGCACAGAGAAGACACCACAGAAACACTTGGCCAAACCCCTATACCCTTTTCAAAGGATACAAATTGATCATATCCAGATGCCAAAGAGTGGGCGGTTGAGTACACCCTAGTGGTGGTGGACATGTTTTCCAGTTGGCCAGAGGCCTTTGCTGTAACTAACAGGACTGCTAAAACAACTGCGAAGAAACTCCCCACTGAGGTTGTATGCAGATATGGGCTTTCAGAGGTGATAGAGAGTGACCAGGGCCCCGCCTTCACAGCTTCAGTAACCAAAGAAATATGGGCGGCATTAGGAGTCACTCTGGCGTTTCATACCCCCTATCACCCCCAAAGTAGTGGGAAAGTAGAAAGAATGAATGGCACTCTGAAAGCCAGAATGCTAAAATTAGCCCAAGAGACTGGCATGAGTTGGCCAGACAGTCTGCCTATTGCCCTATTTAGTGTCAGATACACACCAAGAGAGAACACTCCCTATCCCCTTATGAGATTTTGTTTAGCTCAGCCCCAGACTTGGTTGTTATTTTCCACAACAGTTGCAATTACAATCTGATGTGTTAACTGATTATGTGACTGTATTATCACGTGAATTAACCCGTATCTATGTCCAAGTGTTT